AGGATAGGACAACCATAGGATAGCCTATCCGCATATGGCCTCTGTAGATCAAATCTCAAACCCCCACCCCGCCAAAGTACCAGTGATGACGTAGACAGCGTGTCGTACTTTGCCTTGACGTAGGGTGTTTGCACCACAGATTCCGCTGACTTTGGCTTTATGAATACTTGGTTTTAGTACAAGCAACATTCTGAAACAACCCTTTCTAGATCTCCTTTGCATATTCCCCCTTGTTTATTATGTTATTCAAAATTAAATAATATTTTTCATCATAAATGCATATTCTAAACTACAATCACTACACAGTGTGAAATTTTCGGGATCTAGCTAGAAAAAATATTTAAGCGGCTTTTTTAATGAAATATGTGTCTTTTTTGTCCGTATATAGGAAATTTTGATAAAGCAAAATTGAACATGGACCAAAATAATTTGGCCCCCATTTTAATTAAAGATTTTCTAGGAAGTAGCTCTGGGGGCTGCTCCACATGGTCAAAAAAGTGAGCTTTTGAAAAAAATATAGAATTATTGTGGTATTATTATTTATCAAAAATATTTTAAAAGTTACTAAATTGCAATTTTTAATACGGAACTGCATATACTTCTTTTCAACTCTTTTTTAAAAAAGATAACTTACCCTGTACGTGTTAAAGAAAACTATTAACAATGCAGATTTTCGGCGAAACTTACCACGAATTAATTCCACCTAAAACGCCAAAATTTCACACTGTGCGCTGGCGCAAACAGTTAACGGCACCGTTGATGACGTCGACAACGGTGCAAAACCATATGACCTTGATTCCAAAAATCGAGGCCGATGAGCAATACTGTAGTAGTGTGTAATATTAAACTTTGGTAATATCCTTGAGGGGGAGCAGGAACAGTATTATTGCGCTGTTGCTAAATCTTATTTTTTTTCCTGGGCATAAGAATAATTTTTACGGTTTTTTTTGTTAAATGCCATTTTACCTGCAGAAAACACCTAGTAATCCAGAGCCCGGAGACCACATGTGAAAACCCGGAGAGGTGTCAACCCTATTTATTTACCTTCTGATAAACTGTCATGTAGGCAATATGACGGAAAAAAGTAGTCTGTTATCAGTGTTAGGGCCAAATTATGGACCTACTGGTAAGTGTTTGGTTGTTACCTAGCAGGTACTTTCTATTATCTAGAGCATAGAAAGTACCTGCTAGGTAACAACCAGACGTTTACCAGTCAGTCCATAATTTGGCCCTTAACCCATTATTCGGCTAGTTATCGGCTGACCAATAGAATTATAAAACGGTGAATTTATCTTGCAGATAGTTACCAGCAAGTTTATCTGAAGATGAGAAGTAATTCTAACGACAGCTAAAAATAACGAAATGAAAATGTTTATACAAGTCATGCAACGTTGCGCGCCGTTGACAACCAAAAACATCCCTACTTTAAATACGTTAAACAGTACTTTTAGTTCTGTCAGGTTGGCAACAGAGATTCACTAAATGTGACGTCATCCTAAATATAGCATAAAAATCCTATATACAGAATACGTTAAACACAGAACCAAGTATACGTGAATTTGAAACAGTATACGCGCTCAAAAACAGAAGGGGATTAAGGAATGTTATTGTCCAGGTTGATAATGGAACATATGAAATGTATTCAAAAAGATGATAAAATACATACAGGGTGGGGCACGAAAAACTTCCCACCCAGGTTTCTTAGGTGTGATTAATCAGAAATCGCTCGAACACGTCAATTTTTGTTTTTTGGGGGACATATTTTACTGGTATTTTCACCCCTACCTGTCAACCCCTAAGTAGGGGTGACAGGTACTCTTAAAATTTCAAATGGAAAGAGGGGTCGAGTGATATGTCATTTGGTAGCTATTTTCATTGAGATTATATCCCCGAAGTTTTAAGTTGCTACTATTAACCCTGCCGAAATAGCGGTATGTCAAAGTTAGGATAAATGCTTTTTTTCGATAATCTAAGCTGTATAGTTTTTATCTGTCATACCTATGCGTAGGTAACAGGTAAAAAATTTTGACAAGCCGCCATTTCGACAGGGTAAATAGTAGTAACTTAAAACTCCTGAGATATAATCTTAATAGAAATAGCTATCAAATGACGTATCACTCGACCCCCTTTTCTTTTGAAATTTCAGGGGTACCTGTTTTCCTCACTTAGGGGTTCACAGGTAGGGGTGAAAATATCAATAAATATCAGTATCGAGATCTACATAAAAGTGAAAATAAAATATAGCAATCCCAAATGCACATAATGTACAGTGGGAATTATTGCAATTGGCACATACTATACTGTTTTAACATCCCTCGTATTGAGTCGAAATTTCAACCAAAAAAATCTATTTAGGGCAGTGGTGTACAAATATTTTGTTTCCCTTTAACAATTTATCAAAACTATCATGTTCACCACTGATCTATCAATCTGACACCATTTTGACATTACCTGTGTGTCAAAGTAGTAAAATTCTGACCACAGATTAATTCTGACACACTACGAGGGATGTTTATATAGTGTGTGCCAATTGCAATGATTCTCACTGTACTTAAACATCCAAAGACTAAAATCTCATAAAACACAACTGACATGGTTGATAAACCAAAATAAACCTATAGCAGTATGTTTTGACAGAGACGCACGTTACAGAGGACTTTACACAAAATGAAATAGACATTGATGGTTATACCACTATATGTGGATTTTCAACAACCTCCCATATTGGAGGAACACTGCTGTATGTCAAGAAGGGTAATAGAACTAAAGAAATAGCGAAATTTGAATACAACAAAAACCTATGGATGTCTAGGAGGGTTGTGGTCTGGACTTGAAATTACTATTAAGAAAAAAACAAAAATATTGTGTATACAGACTGTATCATTCATCTAGTGCAAGTGATGCTGAATTTCTAATCTGACCAAACCAGCTTAGGCTTTATATATAAAATGTTGCATCATATGTTACCAAAACATCTTTTAGACAATTGCAGATTTGTTAGAGATGTGCATACCTACATAGGTATAACACTCGGTCAAATATTAACTTCTATCTAGACAGGGTTAACAGTAGCTTCAGTCAAGACTGTCTATTATTCTTCACGCAGGTTTAAAATATTACAATGAACTGCCAAACAATATAAAGAACTGTGATACTCTGAATAGCTTTGAAAAATCATGTTTATTATACCTATGTAAAGGAAAATGTTAAAATTTGATTCCAAGTTTTTGATATATGTAAGTAGGTACTAAGATCCTAAAAGTTAGTCTATCAATGATAGAATATATTATTAAGAGGGGCGTCAGATAGGAGCCAGCGCGCCATCTTTTGGGCTTTATGTCATACATTAAATATTTTTTAATCACAGGTGTTTAAATTCTCTGTAAGTGGTTGACTTTTTTACAAGTAAATGGCGACATCTTCAATATCAATTCGTTAACACAGTAATTTACAGTGGACCAATAATTTTATTCAGATGCAAATGAAATAATTGTATTTCACATTTTTAGATAGTTTTTACTAGTTTTTACTGGCGTTTGAAAGAAGTGACTACCCATCTCGAACTCAGCGACATCTTTAAGAGAAGCACTGAACACACGTTTGGTTTGAGTCTCTGCTAAAAATGACAGCAATCACCTGCTCGTTTCGCACTTTTGGCAGATTTTGATTAATTTTGGAATAAAAACATCATAATTTTCGGCAATTCTGTTCTATTCATTTATTCTAGCAATTGACAATCCGAAATTTTGGAAATTTATTGTTGGTGAGCTACTCTATATGTTTATCCTTTTCATTTAAATCCAGGACCAAAATTTGCATATTGTTGTCAACAAAATTGTTAATAATTCTACTACTTAGACTGCGTATTTTGCAACAAAAAATGGAAGAACAACTACACCAATCTATTATTGTTATGAACATAACTTCATTTTACTGAAAAGTGGTCTAAATTTGGAGTTGAACAGAAATTTGTGAATGTCTGTAAATGACATTTATTTAAACGCCCCTCTTAATATGGTGGATACCTTTATAAATCTGTGATAAACTACCAAGACGTCATTACCTACTTTTTCCTAGGAATCTTTAATTGTATTATGTGTATTGAATAAGGAATATTGTATTTTTGCTAGCCAAGTGCTATTAATAAGGGGAGGACGTATTTTCCTTACCTGAACGAGAGAGAATAGAGATGTAACTTAAAGAGACGGAGAAAGACAGCCAATGACAATGACAGTCGACGAACGCAAACCAAGGAATATAAGCAATAAATATTTATATTCCAAGCTGCGAAAGCTTACTTTCAGGTACGAGGGTATTCAAATCTCAGAATTAAAATTGCCGAGGCGAAGCGCAGCCGAGGCTATTTGAATATCTCCAAGTTGCATAGGCGAGCGAAAGCGAAAGTAAAACATGCTATAAGAGCGAAAGTGAAAGTAACTACTAGCATGTTTCACTTTCGCTTTCGCTCGCCTATGCAAGATAAAAAAAATCTACTCTCGAAGGGAGGAGAATGAAAAGAGAATTGCCTATTATTGTCAAGCGCCGATACCCTTATGACGTCACTACAGATGTACGTCTCTTTTTTGTGTGGTCCTTCTACGACTCATGTACGCTAAGTCTTGAAATCTAAAAATTGTATTCTATTCCAACGCTCTCAATTTTGTACTTTAAAGGGAAGAATGGGCGGCGGAATTGGTCTGGGCACACAGGTGGCTAACATCCTACGCCGGCCCTGTCAATTCTGCTCTTTAGTTCAAAAATTCACTCATTTCTAAATCAAAATCGTACGTTAACAACTTATTATTGAGTTAATTGCTGCGGAACTCGCTTCGCTCGTTCCGCAGAGGTTCAAAAGTGAGTAGAACTTAATCTACTTCAGTCAAAAAAAAAAAAAACCGACCTAAAAATAAGTGAATTGAACAAGTGATATTCACTCATTGCACTGATCCACTCATTTTCATATCAGAATTGTACTTTGAACGACTTAAATTTAATTTTAGAAGAACTTAAAAAAGAAACTCACGAACCTCCTGTCCAAGACTTGCCAAGCGAAAAAATATCTGATGCTCTGCCTCAACCGAAAAGCGGCAACGCCAATGTACTCACCACTGAAAAATATTTCCTACCATTCGAATTGGCATGTCAAAGTAAGTCTGCTAGAATTGTTACAACAGCCCTGGACTGCTTACAAAAGCTCATTGCCTACGGGCATTTGACTGCCAACGTACCCGACTCAACAACCCCTGGAAAACTACTAATTGACAGAATTGTTGAGACTATTTGTGCTTGCTTTACAGGCCCTCAAACGGACGAAGGTAAACTATTGACTAAATTTCCAAAACAAAACTAAACTCAATTTCTAGGTGTCCAACTGCAAATAATCAAAGCCCTATTAACTGTGGTTACTAGTCAGCATGTGGAAGTCCACGAAGGAACTGTCCTACTAGCTGTCAGGACTTGCTACAATATTTTCCTGGCAAGCAAAAATCTAATCAACCAAACAACTGCCAGAGCCACCCTAACTCAAATGCTAAACGTAATCTTTACAAAAATGGAATTGGAAGCTGAATTGCATCCATCAATATTAACAAACGGTGAAGCAAAATTTCCAGAAAATCCTTTCGAAGAAGATGCTTTAAGCGAAACAATAGCTACAGACATTTTAGATTGCATTCTTGATAATGTCATGTCAACATCAATTACACGAGTTCCATCTCAAGAAAGCATCACTACGAACAGCGAAAACGATTCGGCCGTGACAGCAAAATTCACTCACATACTGCAAAAAGATGCTTTTTTAGTTTTCAGGGCCTTGTGCAAACTGTCAATGAAACCATTACCTGAAGGCACCCCCGATCCAAAATCGCACGAGCTGAGATCAAAAATATTGTCTTTGCAACTTTTATTGTCCATTTTGCAAAATGCTGGACCAGTTTTTCGGTCAAATGAGATGTTTATTACTGCAATTAAACAATATTTGTGTGTGGCTTTGAGTAAAAACGGTGTCAGCTCTATTCCAACTGTGTTTGAGCTTTCGTTGGCGATTTTTCTTGCGCTTCTGTCAAACTTTAAGTTGCATCTTAAAATGCAAATTGAAGTATTCTTCAAGGAAATTTTCCTTAACATTTTGGAAACTTCTAATAGTTCATTTGAGCACAAATGGATGGTGATTCAAGCCTTGACAAAAATATGCAGTGATGCTCAATCAGTGGTTGATATCTATATAAATTATGATTGCGATTTGGCTGCTGCAAACCTATTTGAACGCTTAGTAAATGACTTATTTAAAGTAGCCCAAGGGAGACACTCACAAGAATTAGGCGCTTCGCCCAATCAAGAAAGATCTATGAAGCTACGAGGGCTTGAATGTCTAGTGTCAATTCTAAAATGCATGGTTGAGTGGAGCAAGGATTTGTATGTTAATCCTAATTTGCAAAGCACTGTGGGCGAGCCTCAGCTTAAAGATAGGGATTTGGTATCTTTGAAAAGTCACGGGGGTAGTGTTGATAGTTTGATTTCGAGTGATAGTGGGAACAAGGAAGTTTTGGATTCGCCTGAACAGTTGGAAGTTTTGAAGCAACAAAAAGAGGTATTAATTGTTCTGTCTTTGTCCTAACAATATAAATATATATAAATTTATAGGTTTGGGAAACTGGTATTGACACGTTTAATAGGAAACCGCGCAAAGGGATTGCCTACTTGCAAGAACACGGATTACTTGGAGGCACCGAAGAGGAAATCGCAAAGTTTTTGCATTCAGAAGAGCGACTGGACAAAACAAACATTGGAGATTTTTTGGGAGACAATGACGATTTTTGCAAGTCCGTCATGTATACGTATGTTGATCAAATGCAGTTTACTAAGATGGACTTTGTGGCTGCGCTCAGACACTTTTTGGACGGATTCAGATTGCCTGGAGAAGCACAAAAAATTGACAGGTAATATGAAAATAAATTGGCGCCCAACGTGGGGCCACGAAAATTGTGTGAAATTAATAAATAGATAAATAAATGACCAAATTTTTCAACTAATTTATTTTCTACAGATTAATGGAAAAATTCGCAAGCAGATACTGCGAATGCAACCCAAACAACGGCCTATTTTCCAGTGCCGACACCGCTTACGTTTTAGGTTTCTCCATTATAATGCTCACCACAGACTTGCACTCGCCCCAAGTAAAAAGCAAAATGACCAAAGAGCAGTACATCAAACTAAACCGTGGCAATACCGATTGCAAAGAAGTACCAGAAGAGTATTTGTCTCAAATCTACGATGAAATTGCCGGGCATGAAATCAAAATGAAAACCACTGTGAACAAACCGGGCAAACAACTGTTCAACAGTGAAAAGCGCAGGAAGATTCTATTCAATATGGAAATGGAGGCGATTTCAACTGCAGCCAAAAATTTAATGGAGTCAGTTTCGCACGTGCAAACCCCTTTTACTTTGGCTAAACATTTAGAACACGTTAGGCCAATGTTTAAGATGGCTTGGACTTCATTTTTGGCTGCCTTTAGTGTAGGACTTCAAGACTGCGACGATATTGAAGTAGCTTCACTTTGCCTTGACGGTATTCGATGCGCTATAAGAATCGCGTGCATTTTTCATATGACTTTAGAGCGCGATGCTTACGTACAAGCATTAGCAAGGTTTACTTTACTCACAGCCAATTCCCCAATTTTAGATATGAAAGCTAAAAATATAGATACTATTAAAACTTTGATTATGGTTGCGCATACAGATGGGAATTATTTAGGTCCCTCTTGGTTGGATATTTTGAAATGTATTTCTCAATTGGAGCTGGCTCAGTTGATTGGTACTGGGGTGAGGCCTGAGTTTCTTTCAGGCCCTGGCCACAAACCACCTGATCCTAGTTATAAGGAGCACATAGGCCAAACTAGCTCTCAAAGCGTCGTGGTTGCAGTTGACAGAATTTTCACCGGGTCAACTCGTTTAGATGGAGATGCTATTGTAGATTTTGTCAAGGCCTTGTGTCAAGTTTCATTGGACGAGCTGGCACATCCGGGACACCCAAGGATGTTCTCTTTGCAAAAAATAGTAGAAATTTCCTACTACAACATGGGCAGGATTCGTTTGCAATGGTCTAGGATTTGGCAAGTTTTAGGAGAGCACTTTAACAAAGTGGGCTGCAATAGAAACGAGGAAATTTGCTTTTTTGCTGTAGATAGTTTGCGGCAACTATCAATGAAGTTTATAGAAAAAGGCGAATTTTCTAATTTCCGTTTCCAAAAAGACTTCCTCCGACCTTTCGAGCATATCATGAAAAAAAACGTTTCGCCTACAATACGAGACATGGTTGTCCGATGTGTGGCTCAAATGGTAAATTCCCAAGCTAACAATATAAAATCAGGCTGGAAAAACATATTTTCGGTTTTCCATTTGGCCGCAGGGGACCAAGAAGAGGCCATTGTGGAATTGGCGTTTCAAACAACTGGGAAAATAATATCGGAATTGTATGACAGGCAATTTCCAGCTATGATTGATTCATTTCAGGACGCCGTTAAGTGTCTGTCAGAGTTTGCTTGCAACGCTAGATTTCCTGATACTTCTATGGAGGCGATTCGATTGGTGAGGTCTTGCGCTTGTAGCGTCGCCTCAGCGCCTAATCTATTTGCAGAACACGGAGGTTAGTATTTATACTTATAACTTGATGATTTTACAATAATTATTTATAGGTATGGAAACGGAAATAATAATAACTGAAGACGACCGCGTTTGGGTACGTGGCTGGTTCCCTCTTCTATTTTCTTTATCCTGCGTTGTAAATCGATGTAAATTAGACGTAAGAACCCGTGCCTTGACGGTACTATTCGAAATAATCAAAACTTATGGCGAAAGCTTCAAAGCCCATTGGTGGAAAGACCTTTTTAAAATCTTATTCAGGATATTCGACAATATGAAACTGCCGGAAAAACATACGGAAAAGGCCGAATGGATGACTACCACTTGCAATCATGCCTTATACGCTATCGTTGATGTTTTTACGCAATATTTTGACGTTTTAGGGCCTTTATTGCTGGAGGATTTATATTCACAGTTGCACTGGTGCGTCCAACAGGATAATGAACAATTAGCCAAATCAGGTCAGAACTTTTTTCTATTATAGATAGAAAGCTGAAACTTTCACTGAAATTTATCTCAATAAAGGGACTACAATCCCTGAAAATTTCAGCTCAAATGCATGTATAGTTCCTGAGATAAAATCCTGCTAAACAATTTGGGGTGATTTATCAATTTTTCAATTTTTCTGAGTGCCTTTTTTCATAGATTTCAGCTTCAAATCTGAGAATAATTTAGTGTTTGGGGGATGTAAAACCTACATTATTACAACTAATAGAATTCTTTCTTAGGTACTAATTGTTTAGAAAATCTAGTCAACTCAAACGGCCACAAGTTTACCAAAGACACCTGGGACAAAACATGCAAATGCATGCTGGACATTTTCAACTCCACAATCCCCTCAGCGTTGCTGACCTGGAAACCAGAATCAATGAAAACAACCGCAGTAATAGAACAAAACGGCGATATAAGGAGCATCCTGAAACGATCAGTGAGTTTCGCTGACCAGCAATCCACCAATCCAGAAGTGGCTTTGTTTCAGAGTCTAGAAATCAAAAGTGTTGTCCAGCTGGAATTGATACAAACTATTGATAATATTGTGTTTTACCCGGCAACTTCTCGCAAAGAGGATGCCGAAACTTTAGCCCTGGCAACTGCCGACATGACCGGCAATGGAAACTTGACAGAGTGCCAGAGGGAAGAACAAGGAATGTACAGATTGCTGAGTTCGCCTCATTTGTTGAAGTTGACTGAGTGTTTGCAACAATCACATCGGTAATATATATATAAACATAATAAATATAAGTTTATTGAAATTTTATTTATAGATTTGCAAAAGCATTCAACCTCAACCACGAACAACGCAACTTACTATGGAAAGCAGGCTACAGGGGTTCAGTAAAACCAAACTTGTTGAAACAAGAAACTCAAAGTTTGGCTTGCTTGTTGAGGATTTTGTTTAAAATGTATTGCGACGAGGGCAGGCGTGAACATTGGCACGTGATTGAAGAAAAGCTGATGGACGTTTGCCAAGAGGCTTTCGATTACTTTTTGCAGTTGCAAAGCGAGGCGCACAGGGATGCTTGGACGACACTGTTGCTGCTAGTGCTGACTAGGATGTTGAAAATGCCTGACGATAGGGTAAGAATTTTCAGTTCATTGTTGAAAAAGAGCTTTTAAATTCATATTTTGAATATTTCCTCAAAAACTACAAATGTGAAAGTTTCAAGAATTATTATTGAGGCTTTGATACATCTTTGTCTATAAACCTAAATCTGACAAATCTCCATGTTTTGAATCTTGCCTCAAAAACTACAACAAATTTTGAGGAATTATTTTTGAGGCAAAAATTCCTTACCCAAATACCTTATAACAATTATTCACATAAACAAATTTTATTTAGTTTGCAGTACACGTATCGAAATACTACCAGTACCTTTGCGAAATCGTCTGTTTCGACCTAAAAGCCGAGCTGAGGTCGATACTGAGGCGAGTCTTTTTGCGAATCGGGCCTGTTTTTCATATCACCCGAGCCTCGTCTTAGCTCAACATCAAATCAACGTTATTTAGGAGCTGACAGTGTACATAAACTAGTCGATTGTAGATAATTATTTTCGATTTTATATTTATAGCATAAGAACTAAGAATTGTATTGACACTATTTTAGAAATTTGGATAATTATTATTTGAATCGATAATAGTACATAGTTTGCTCTAAATCTTCGGCGTACCGGGTGTCAATTTATAAAGTAACTTTTTTACATACAATCAAAAATAAAAAAGTTACAGGTGGTGATGCTTTATAACTTGACACCCTGTACAACAATCCAGGAAAATCTTTGCTGTAAAATTGCTTACCAATTAAATGTATGTTGTATATAAGGCAAAAAAAATTGGTCTATTATATATTATATTAATGCCATTCCGTACTACCTAAGTGATAGAAGGTTTTTAATTTGTTAAAGTATGTATTGTTATCTGTTATCTATATACAAGACAATTATTGTCTTGTGAATAAATAATGAGACAATAGAAAAATTGTTTATGTGCCTTCAACGATAGTAATTGTATAATTTGTTGAATTGATTTATCTCATTGCATTAATAATAATTGAATTGAGTGATTGATATAGTAAACAAATAATAATTTATTTCCTAGTTATGTTATTTTGTTGATAAAGGTAATTATTATTAATAAATGCAATTGTTTTATCACCATATGGTACTAGAACACCAATGAATTCTAAAAAAAAAACAGTGTTTTATTTGAACTTCGTTGACCAGTCAGAAACAACTACTCCGAGGGCAAATACCCCTACCGGCGTCAGAGGCGCCGACTTTTGAGAATTCTCATGAGTGCAGAATAACGACTTTGTAACATTGTTTATAAGGGCAGGGGGAAGCTCGCCTCAGGCGCCGCCAGATGCGATTTTTCATGAGACTTGGCAACCTTGACGTACACGCTCTAAGTGACGTTTTGTTTTATTTTAGCCGCCTCATCAAACTGTCACTATCAATAAATGAACTATACGCATGGCAAAGGACTTATATAAAAGATCCGCGATGTATCGAGAAGATTATATCGATATTTTTTTGATATATCGGATATAAAATATCGGGACTTTCCGTTGTGCGTGGAACTGTCCCGATTATTATCAAAAAATAGAGATGGAGAATAGCAGCAACATAAAAGGCAATTTTTCGCAAGGATAATCAAACGAAACATAATCTGAATATGCTCAAATATTATGTGTGAATTGTGTTAGAGTCCCCTAACTCCCTTCCCAACTAATTCTGGGACTGCGAATGACGTCACTATTAGGATCTCATAGTGATGACGTCACTCGCAGACCTCGATGGAATGCTTACCATTCAGACTATGCTAGTGAGTTAATTTTTTTATCGATTTTAAATGAAGAAAGGATTATTTTCAGTCTGTTCTCACAGAAAAAGTTAAGTATTCTTCATCCTCGAGTATTCCAGAATTTAATAGTGGGCAAGTTAGGGGAGTATGACAAAATTGATACATAACATCTTAGCATAATCGAGTATGCTTGGTTTTCCTCGCGAAAAATTGCCCATAATGCCTATGTAATAGAGCATAGAACTGACCACATAACGGAAGGACAGAATACTAATACCACTTGCATAGGCCGAGTTCAATTTTGACGATTTTTTCATCTTTTTTGTCGATAAGCACGTGACTGGATAAGACAGTTTCAATTTACAAATCAGGTGCTTGTCAAAATTTCGGAAAAAATCGACGAAAAAGATGACACAAACGAACTCGGCCATTGTATAATTCTTATACAAAGTTGTGTAAATTTAAATTACATGATACTGATGCTACCACATGGTACGTAATGACCAATAAACACGTTTGTACTTCCGTAATCCCTACGAGATTCCCCATGATCTCCCATGGGTGCTGCGCACCCATGAGAGGTTGCTCATAGGTGCACCTGCCCCAATGCTCCCATCTCGGCTCCCATGTAGTCGGCGCCAATGTATAGGCTAATGAGGCACACCGAGTGCGCGCACTCTGTGCCGTTCAGAAAGTACTTTGGGCGCGCTCCAGGTGTCGCACCGGTCACACCATAATTTTTTGGTGTGATTGTGTCTTTATGTCAACAATGTCAACCATTCCGCACATAATCTCAATAATCCCACCAAATATAAACAAAACACAAATAAGAATTTAAGTTTTTCCTTCAAATTAAAAAAATGAACAAGAAAAAAAAGTAATCCTAATAGATTTTGTGAAATTTTTGAGGAGATGTTCGATTGATCACACCAAGCGTTCAGAAATTCACACGAAAGTTGTCGCCTAAGAATGGCAGCAAATATCCAGTTAAGTTCTATTCAATTTTGTAGAGGGCGTGAGTGAACTTGGAGTGCTTTGAATTTTGGCGGTAAATGTCAATAGTTTTAAACCGATTTAATAAGTGGAAAGAAAGATGACTACATATGAACAGTGAATAGGTTAAAATATCTTCCAAAACGTTCAGTGGCCCTTAAAGAATATTTTCAAAAGTGTCAGCGTCAGCTTGTCTCAAAACCACATATCAAATTTGACATTTGAGGTTAAAATTACATTCGATTATTCACGCGCCAAAATTTAAAAAGCTCCAAGTACAGAAGCGCCCTCTTCAACTCAACTGTCAATATTACATGCCATTGTCATTTCAGTCATACCCATAAACTCGCACTCACACTCGGTGTGTTATTTCTGAACTCGCCCCTGTGCTAGCACCATATAGTATGGGCAAGTTTTTAAAATCATCAATGTTACATGCACATTTTTACCGATGTATTGCTGTCCTTGTCATTTGACAGCAGCAAAACAAGGATAGCTTGCCCATCAGGAACGCAGAATTTGACAGAAAAGACAAAGACAAAGACAGAATTTGAAAACTTGCCCCCTCTATTAGATAATCCAAACTTCCTATATTTATTATGTTCTGTGCATTCTTCGCTCGTTATTCAGATTTCAGCAAAGCTCTGAATCCTGTGCTCTTGAGTTGAAGAAGAGTCTGGAATATACAGGGTGTCCCAGGAGGTTCCTCCCAAATGATCATTTCGGAACGCATCATCGTATGTTCCACTATATAATTTTCTGTCATATCCTTTAACAGAGCCTTAACAAATATGGCATAGCTGATTCTGTAATTTAATTTTCTAACGGAAAATACCATAATATACCATGAGTTACATTTAATAAGATTCGAAAGTTGACGTCACTTGACCGAAATTGAAGCAAAAATGGTAAAATTGGATGACAATAGGCCTCTTGCATCAAATTTTTTTATTGCTGATTTCGATAGTCCATGAAAAATAAGTCAACACGTGTTTTTTCTTTTTTTTGTTAGTCAAAAATTGACGGAGATACAACGCTTTGAAATGTCCTTCCGACGTCATAACTTTGGTAAAATACGTTGTGAGTTGTGACGTCGCACCATGCTCAGTATATCTATATATAAAAAACTTAATATTTGTATAACTTCCGGAATAATCATATTTGGGTGAAATTAAAAAAAAAGTAACTATTTTTTTTCGATTTCCCACAGTTTGCAATAAACAATAATCAATTTAATTTTCCATGCAAGTACCCTATTGTAGAAGCGGCACAGAAAGTTACCCAGATATCCTCAAAATTTCAATCATATTGGATGACGCGTTCCGAAGTTATCACCTGGGAGAAACGTCGTGGGACACCCTGTATACATGTCAAGCTTTTTATCAGTTTTTGAAGTAAAATTCTTAGGCGGCGGTCTGATATAGACGAGAATATCGAGAGTTATTTGAAAGACGCATCACCTAAACGTCACGTTTTTTTTTTCGTTACACGAGAGATGAAAGAGAAGAAAGATATAGCGTAGACTGTAGAGAGACGGAGAAAGCCAATGACTAGGATTGCCTTTTATTGTCAAGCACCGATACCCATGTGACGTCACTATAGATGTGCGTCTCCCTTTTGTGTGGCCCTTCGTCTTCACCTCGACTCATACACAGTCTAAAAGCTGTATGAGGGAGGGGTACTTATAGTTTTAAAAAAGTTTCACTTCTTAACACGTGTACGATGCTACACATGATTTTTTTGAAGTGTAACATCTTAGGAGGCGGTCTGATTTGGACGAGAATGAAACGACACGTTTTGGCAAATTTCGGCACACGAGAGTAGAGAGAGAAGAAAGATATAACGTAGAGAGACAAAGAAAGATAGCCAATGACAATGACACCCGTCGAACGATTGACACAAACCAAGGATTATGTTGAGTGAGTCACGGCGAGTTTTTGTGAACTGTAGAATATTATCCATTGACCATTAATTTTTTTATTATCAAACAAAAAAAAACAATGACCATAAGGCCATAACATATAGCCTCTACTTTCAAAAGTAAATAAAATACTGGGTGAAGGGATACGTTATTTACGCAGGTTTATTTAGAAGACTTGAAAAGTACTTTCTTTTAATGAATCTGTATTTATGCGCATGTGCATAATAACCGATAACGTATGTGTACGTAAAATAATGGGTTTAAAAACTCCCTAGTACTCATTACATAAAATTTACAGTTGCTTTCGAATAATGATAACTTTATTTTCGTTACCCTTTGGAAAGTAACGCGTTATTGTAACTTCTTTACTTTAGAAGTAGTTCGTCATTTAAAAGTAACTCGTTATTTGGAAGTAACCCGTTACCTCAACAGTCAACGCGTTAACTTGAAATAAAGTGCTAGTTGTAAATAAAGCATTACTTTCAAAGTAGGTAACGCGCTACTTCAAAAATAACTATTTACGTCGAAAATTGCGTTATTCCTTAATTTGACTCACCAACACAGCAATCCAAACAATCAAATAATAGTATATTATGCAATGATCATGTAATGATAGCCATTAATACACGAGCATGTTGTAGGATACGAAACGAGCCGCAGGCGAGTTTCGTATATAACATGCGAGTGTATTATTGGCCATTACATGAGAGTTGCATACACTATTTTTTCTACTTGCATTAATAAACGAAAAACATATTTATTTCATAAGAATAGTAAACTTGTCAACTGGTGATAATTCTTGACAACTTGACAATTTCAAAAATTAAGATCTAGATGTCCTTTGAGCATAAATTCCGTACTCGATTTATTAATTTTTTGTTGTTTCTTCTGGTAAATACTAATAGGAACAATCCAAAATTCCTAAGCAAGTCTGTTATTTTTATAAAAACATTGTTCATGTTGAAAATACTCGATTTCATTGGCTGAAAAATCTGTATCATAATGAAAATCTGTATCATAATGAAGTTCATTATGAAACAGATTTTAGGCGTATTATGAAACGTCAGTAGAAAAAGACCTATACGAAATGCCAATATGTTTTTAGTTTGTGAGTCCGACTATGTGGAAGAGTTTTGTTGCAAAATTCAAACGGATTACGGATAAAGGATTAAGCAACTAAATAGAGAACTTGGTTTTGGACAAACCTGCTTTTTGAAGCGTCCCAGTGTCTGCATATAGTGTTTTTAAAGCAGAGGCGGCGCGTGCCACGCCCAAAAACGTTTATTTTGAGCTTTCAATTCAAATTTTCTGTACTACCCACATTTTATTTGACATACAAAATTTTTGGATTACTTATTTTCCTTTTCCTCAATCGTCAATTATTTGTAAAGAAGATAAACAAATTGAGAGAACGCGTTACTTTCATAGTATCTTAACGCGTTACTTCCATATAAACGCGTTATTTTCATAGTAACGCGCTATACTTTCATAGTAACTCGTTACTTTAACAAAATAACGATCTGGAATTATTTCAGGAAAGTAACGTCGTTACAGTTACTATTATCAATCAATCTGAAAAGTAACGAAGTTACCAAGTAACGCGTTACTTTCAGTAACTCGTTAAAGTAAAGTAACTATTTTTTGTTGTTACTCCCAGCTCTGCCTTAAGGGCACTAGTGTATTAATAAAACTCCGAAATCCTAACCCTCCGCCAAACACCCTGTATACTTGGTTTGTGTCAATAGGGCAATCCAATTACAATGGCGGCCGATGCCATGCGACAAGCAATGAAATTGGCGCCATAAATCCAATTCAAAAAAGACCGTGATATTTTTTTATCAAAAAACTATTTCTTTGTGTATTTTGTGGTGTTTGGTGTTTTAAGGCAATTTTTAAGTGCTTGGAAGGATAATTTTCGTATTTCAAGATGGAGAGTTTTTATTTTAAGAAGTTAGGTATCAGTGGAAAACCTGGATGTTGGCAAAAGGTATAATTTCTTTTCAACAAACCTTTACTTACTAAACAATTAGGTACTATCCGGGATTTGTTTCCTGTTTAGTTTTTTCTCAACCAAATCCTGAATCCTTATCGTTATTTTATTTGTCTGCTATTCCAGGTATCGACACAATAGTTGAGGATAGTTAGTAAATGGCTTGCATCTATACACCGGTTATGTGGAGAGACTTTTTAATTTGGCTCCCACAACTAACTACATTACATCATATTCATAACGTAGACTTTTTTCCAAAAAATCGACACTTTATTATTTTACAGACTTTACACAAATCGAAAATCACAATGAAATAGTGTATAAACAAATAGTATATAAACAAATACACCTCACAGAGTACCAATGCTTGGCATTGGCCGCCATTCGCCTAAATATTTGACATATAAAGGGGCTTTCATTTACATTCCTCCTCTTTCAAATTTTCCATCTTTGTTTAATATATAGAAAAAGACAAAAACCGATAAACTTTTGATAAGAAAACATTTCTATATAATTTTTGACGTTTGGGTTAACCTATTTTCAGGTTTCAGGAACCGAGTACAAGAAAAATTTCCCAAATTTGGAAATTATCGAAAAAGTACAATAATTCAAGGAAATACAACGTTTGTTTCGATACTGCGGTGTTTATTTTTAATCCAATGTGACCGTCCGAGTTATTTCAGCTACATCTGGATTAAATTTTTTAGAATATGGGCCTGAAAATGGACTGCCTGCTTGCCCATTACACGACAAAGTTGACCGACATCGAAGGCAACGTTTTCGAATTGTTTTCCAAGTTTTACAGCTTCGATTTGTAAGTAGAAACCTCAACGAAAATATACATTAATTGAGGGTATTTTTAGATCTCCCATTGAGGCTTGGTTGGAGACCCAATTTAAAACTAAAGTGAAAAAGGACGACGTCCTGTCCACCTACTACAGAAAAGAAGGCAACAAGTTTTACGCTAGAAAAGATTTGCTTAAAAGTTTAGAGTTTTACACTAAAAGCTTATGCTGTGCCACACCCAATGGCAAAGAGTACGGACTAGCTTTGGCCAATAGATCAGCTGTTTCGTTTGAAATGAAGGAATACGAAGTATAATTTCGACTATTTTTAAATTTAAAAGCCTCTGAAATTGTCTGTTACAGAACTGTTTGAGAGATATAAAACTGTGTTTTCAAACAAACTACCCGAAAGATTTGAGACCTAAAATCTATTTGAGAAAAGCTGAATGCTTTTGGGAGATTAGTCAGCAAGAGAATTTGGACAAGTGCGTCAGTGAGGCTTTGAAATTTCTCAATTTGGAAAATATAGCTGACAAAGGTAAAATTTATTGGATTATGTTTGTTTGCAGCATACAGTAGTACTACAGAGCCACTTGGTACTCTTCTTATTGGTTTTGTCTCCAGCCCAGTTTGCGTCAGATTGTTCTCATTGTATAAATTAATCCAACAGTGTTTTTCCCAAATACCTCAAGATTCTTTTGCCTGCAGTCCACAAGACTTGAGTTGGTTTGACCAAAGATGCACCAAGTACAGTAAATCTGTTCTGGAAGTGCATTAATATAATTTTTCTGAGTCATATTTAATGATTTCAACAGTTCTTGTTATCTCCATTCCAATGAATCTGCTAATTCTTTAGCATTAGGTTAAGGTAGTTCATTTTTCAAATTATCTAAGAATCAGAAAAAGCTTTATTATCAAAGATAGATATCTTATTGACAAAGCAGTCTTATATCTACATAATCAAATAAAATAAAATTAAAAGTAAAGTATTACTAATTTACACTAAATATGTGATTCATAAGGTATGTAAAATTAAAAATTAAATATAAATACACAAAAATACAACTATAAACAAAATAAGATAAAATAAGATAAAATAAAATAAAATAAAATAAAATAAAATAATATAAAATAATATAAAACATCAACATCATTACATATAAACTAACAATCGGCATTCAACTAGCTGCGTAAAACTCTTCTAAAGTGTAAAAACAATTCTCCAAAAGATAGTCTTTCACGTTTTTTCGGAAGGCATTAAAATTATCAAGTTCTCTCAATTGTAAAGGTAGATTATTGAATATTTTACGGCTTTCATATATTAAGGATTTTTTTATCATTGTTGAAGAGGGTATCGGAAGATGGACAACCTGTGTCTGTCTAGTTCTGTAGTTATGCTGGAAATTGTAGTTATCCCTATATCTATTTTTGAATATCAAACAAACTGATTCCAATATATACAGAGATGTTAGGGTAAGCAATCTGTAGTCCCTGAAATAAGGCCTGCAGGAATCATTCCGTCTTAGCTGAAACATTGATCTGATAGCTCTTTTCTGGAAGCGGAAGACGGACTGAAACAGGCCATCACCGCACGCACCCCAGAATGCTATCCCATAGCGCAGATGAGACTCTACCAGGGCATAATAAACATCCCTCGCTACCCCCACGCCAAGCTCCCTCCGGACAACCCTAACGGCAAAGCATCACGACGCAACCTTTTTTTTCAGTTGACTTGTATGTGCTTCAAAGTTCAGTTTTTCATCGATGAAAATTCCCAAAAATTTGGTGTGTTTTTTCTGCTGTAATGGATTATTGGCAAGCATTAATCCTTCCATCGTACATTTGAATCCTATGATTTTACTTTTATCTATGTTCAGAGCAAGCTTGTTTGCATCAAACCAGCGCTTTATAAGATCAAGTCCAGATAATACTATCCCCCTAAGATTCCCAACATTATGACAGTGCCACAAACAGGTGACATCGTCAGCAAAAACAGACATCTCTGCATTTACATTAATTTGACATAAATCATTCACATATATGAGGAACAGTAGAGGGCCAAGCACTGATCCCTGAGCAATGCCACAGGTAATATCTCCGGACCGGGAGTATTGACCGCCCAGAAAGACTCTCTGAGATCTGCCCTGAAGGAAGGACATTATCCACTCAAGAGCCTGTCCCCTGAAGCCATAGCATTGAAGCTTCAGCCGCAAGATTCTGTGACTAACGCAGTCAAACGCCTTGGATAAGTCACAGAAAACTGCGGCTGCCGCCTCTCCACTATTTAGGGACGCGTAAGCGTTTTCAAGGAACCCAAAAATTGCATCATTGGTGCCCTTCCCCTCCTGAAAGCCAAATTGGTTTGGGTTGAGGATATTATTCTCCACTAAGAAGGCCATAATTTTTTTCTTTGCGAGTTTTTCAATGATCTTTGATAATGTGGAGAGCAGTGAAATGGGTCTGTAATTGGATTCCTTATTTGTTTCGCCACCTTTGTGGACTGGAATGACCTTTGCCCTCTTGACCTCGGATGGAAACAATCCTGATTCCCAGGAGAAACTAATGGCATCCGCCAGACACTGAAGTACAGGCCGCGGCAGAGCAAGAAATATTTTTGCAGAGATTCCATCCTCTCCGCATGAATTTTGATTTTTAATGTCTCTAATACATGCCAAAACCTCATCTATATTTGTTGCTAAAAATGAAAAGTTATTCTGAATATTGATATGATTCATGTACGCAAGTGGACATTCGTCTGTATTTAGGTGTTTAGTTATTTTATCAGCGATAGTGCAGTAGTAGGTGTTCAAGTCGTTCCTATCAATTTCAGTCAGTTCGTCAAAGTTTTTATTTTTTTCACACTGTCTAAGGTCGTTAACAATTAACCAGCTTTCTTTCTGTTTATTACCCGAATTTGATAGCCTCTCCGCATAATATGATTCTTTAGCCTTTTGTATTAACTTTCTATAAATTAACCTATACTTTGAAAAATAGTCCAAAAAAGCTTGGTTGTTAGAGCAAAATTTTCTAATATAGTGCAGTGAACGGAGGTTTTTTGAGGAAATTCGCAGCCCACAAGTTATCCATCTCTTCTTATGTCTCCGCTCTTTTAAAAACTTCACAGGAAAGCAAGTCCCAAAAATTTCCCTCATTTTGAGATGAAAGACACTTAGCGGGTCATTAGTATGCCAAACTACGTTCCAATTCGTTAGAACTGCTCCTCCGTGAAACCTTTCGAAGTTCTCCGTGCTAAAAATTCTACCGCTCCTTTTTTGCGTTTTCTTAATGTTTCTTTTAATATAAATTTTCAACGTGACCGCTTGGTGATCCGATAAGGATGAGCTTAACACTCTACAAGATGTTTTGGGATCCACAAAATTAGTGCAAACATAGTCAATTGTTTTTTGAGAGATTTCGGTTATACGCGTTGGATTGTTAACATACACTGACAAGTCAAAACACTTTAAGAGCTCAACTAATTCTGTCCTATAGATACAAGAAATATTACCAAAATCAATATTAAGGTCACCTGCAATAATTATTTTGCGTTTTACGCTTATCAATGACAGAAGGGTTTCCAATTTCTCCAAAAATTGTTGCACATAAGCTTGGATTGGAGACCTATATTTATTTATTTATTTATTTATTTATTTATTTATCAACGAGCAATTATTGCCCAATTAAAAGACAAGTATAATTAACAAGTGAGAATCTTAACCTAACCTATCACCTAGAATATCAAAACATAAGAAAACAATAAACAGTAACATATTAAAAAATATATATCAATAAATTAACATAAAACATAAGGTAAATACTCGGGTAAAAACCACAAAATACTTTAAAAAAAAAAAAAAAAAAAAAAAAAAAAAAAAAAAAAAACTTAAAACTTTTTTTTTTCTTTTTTTTCTCTTCCCTAATTATAACCATTCTTTGGGACATTAAAATATCACAGAGTACAGGACTTAAGCTGGGATTTAAAAACTTTTTGATTATCAAAACAGTCCAACCTGTTAGAATACTGATTAGCAAATCTAGCCGATCTTGATAGAAAAGAATTATATCCGTAGTTAGTACGATGGTGTCCAATTTGGAACGGCTGATTTAGCCTTGTTTGTCTAGAAGGGACATGGATATTGACTTTTGCCAGTAGCTCTGGACCAAAGCTGTATGAGTGCAGTAGATTATAAAATATGGTAAGATCCTTGTGCATGCGTCTGATTTGAAGAGTAGTGATATTAAGGGAACTTTCAACCCTTGAGTAATTAATATCTTCAACTTCATGGCGTTCCTTAAATGAAATAAATCTCAAGAATTTATGTTGGACTCTCTCAATAGCCTGGATATGGACGTTGTAGTGGGGAGACCATACACAAGAACAGTAATCTAGATGAGGCCTCACAAGAGAACAGAATAATATTTTGATGGATGCTATATTAAGAAAATCTTTAGCGCACCTTTTAATAAAACCCAAGATTTGAAGTGACTTTGATACTGCCATTGAAATATGGGATATGTAAGATAAGTTGGAATCAAGGACTACACCTAGATCTTTGATTTGACATACAGATTCCAGAGGGCAACCATTTATAGTGTAGACTTGTTCTGTGGGATTCCTGCTACGACTGAAGACCATCAGATGGCACTTCTGAACATTAAGTTCCATACCATTAATTTCACACCAGTTGCTGAGACGATCTAAGTCGGCTTGCAGTTCTAGGCAATCAGCATTATTCTTGATTTTTGTGTATAGTTTTAAGTCATCTGCAAACATTAGGAAGAAGGAAAAGAGAAAAGAGGATGCAATATCATTCACATATAAATTAAAAAGAAGAGGGCCCAGGTGTGAACCCTGGGGTACGCCCGATGGTACTTTAATTTCTATTGATTGGAATCCCTGAATACGTACCATCTGTGTTCTTTCATTAAGGTAAGATGAAAGCCATTCCAGAAGGACACCCTGAATTCCCAGACTCTGCAACTTATTAATCAAAACTCTATGGTTAACCCGATCAAACGCCTTTGCAAAATCAGTGTACACAGCATGAACTTGATAACCCCCCTCCAAGGATTCCAAGAGATAGTCAGTAAATGTCAAAAGATTAAGTTCTGTGGAGCGATGAGAAATGAATCCAAACTGTTGATCGATGAAACAGCCTTTTAAACTAGCAGACAAATAATCACAAACTAGACTCTCAAACACTTTAGGGATACAACTTAATATACTGATGGGCCGATAGTTATTAACCTGTGAACTATCTCCAGACTTCAATATGGGAGTAATAAAGCTTGTTTTCCAATAGGCTGGGAATGTCCCGGTCTATATATACATAATATAATTAGATTCTGCCTTTGGGAAGATATAGCGCAAAATTCAAACATCTGTTCAACCATGAGATAATCGAAATCATTAACTACAAAGAAATTATTCTCCCCAGCAAAAACATCCTTCAACAAGATCAGTGTACCTCCACACTTGAATTGAGTTCTATAAGACTTAGCAATCATTTTGTAACCCGCCAGGAAAATTGGTTCGTC